CTCTCTCTCTCTCTCTCTCTCTCTCTCTCTCTCTCTCTCTCTCTCTCTCTCTCTCTCTCCACATCGGGGCCAGGCGCACTCGTCCGTGCAGAAGGCGGCCAACATTGCCGGGCTCGGGTCCAACCTGCGCCTCATTCCCACCAGCGGGAGCTGCGAGGACGGGCAGCGGTGCTACACCCTGGACGCCGCCGAGCTGTCGGAGGCCATGCGGGAGGACGAGGCCGCCGGCCTGACGCCGGTGTTCGTGAGCGCGAACGTCGGCTCGACGAACACTTGCGCCGTGGATCCCGTTCGCTCGCTCGGGGAAGCTTGCCGCAGGTTTGGTGGCTGATTTCGGGTTGGCCGGCCTTGACTGACTTTTAGGTCGAGGTCGAGGCTGATTCCGATGATTTTGACAGCGAATCGAATTTCGTCCACAAAAATCGTTTGTTTGGCAGACTGTGCGGAATGATTCGGTTTCGGTGTATGGCATGCGAGGGTAATAGGAGTTGTATTCGCTCTCAGGTTTGGCTGTTCGTAGGTTGTCTAGAGGCAGGGGGGGGGGGGGGGGGCGCTGTTGCATTATTTTCGGTCCTCTAGCGCGAAAGGAGGGTTCATGCTGGCTTTGGCCATCGTATGCATAGGTAAGCGTTGCAGGTAATGAGTGCTTTGAAAGGTTCTTTCTTGGGCTTGGAACATTTTCGTTCGTTTGACCGGCTGCCTTCTCTCAACGCCTGCTGTATCTTGTGCTTTGTTTTCCTCTTTGACAAAGGGGGGTTTTACTGCCTTGTCGCCGCTTGTTTTATCTGACGGCACGTTTTTTCAACGCAACGCGCACCTTGTGTGTGTGTTTGTTTGTTTTGTGCTTGCCTACCCCTCGGGCTCTCGCGTAGCTTCTCGACAGGAGAGAGCAAGGAAGGGGAAGGGTCGGAGACGCTAGTGCCGTGGCTGCATGTCGACGCCGCGGTGAGTAGTAGTACTCCCTTCTGTACGCACTCGATACACCGCACTACATGCTGTGAAAGGAGCTTGGAGGCGTACCTGCGTGTGTAAGGTGGCAAAAGACGCCGCTCATCAGTAGCTTTTCTTTCCTTCAAGCGCTAGCGCATCAGTTTCAGCCCTCGTCCCATAGCGAGCCCACGGCATCAAAGCAACAACGGCGGCGCACTTTGCGGGAGGGAGCAAGCGGGCGGGGTACGTGGACGACCAAAAAAGGCGAAACTACCAAAAAAGCGAAACTATCACCAGCCGCATCCTTTGTTACCCTGGTGGGTCACTCAAAAGGAACATCGTAGCTCGATCAAGATCGATCAAGACGTGAGAGTTAGTCAGGGTTAGGGTTGCGGTTAGGGTTGCGGGGCAACTACGGCAAGGACTCTACCCAACACTGCCACACTCTGCTACTACAGTCATGCAAGCGGGTGACTCCCCCCCCCACCCCTTCCCTCTGATGCCGCTGGCGCGTCTGTCCCCTTTGGCGCGTTGCGAGCAGTACGCCGGGTCTGCCGCCGTGTGCCCGGAGAACCGATGGATCTTGGACGGCATCGAGGCTGCCGACAGCTTCATGTTCAACCTGCACAAGTGGTTTGTCCCGAACGGTGTTCTTTTGGTCGTCCATCGTGTGTGTTTGTGTGTTTCCCCCGCGTGCTCTCATCGAAAAGGCTTCATTTTTTTCTTTTTCCCTGTGGTGGCGCGCGTGAAGTACGTATCCTTGTCCTTCGTGGCCCTCCCCCCCCCCCCCCCCCCCCCCCCCCCCCCCCCCCCCCCCCC